CTTCAAGTAGCTTCTTTTAAAAATTAATTAGGTGCTGGCTGCAGTGGCTCACATCTGTAATCCCAGGACTTTGGGAAGCTGAAGTGGGTGGCTCACTTGAGGTTGGGAGTTTGAGACCAGCCTGGCCAACATGGTGAAACCCTATCTCTACTAAAACTACAAAAATTAGCCAGGAATGGTGGCCCGCACCTATAGTCCCAACTACTCGGGAGGCTGAGGCAGGAAAATCTGTTGAACTCGGGAGGCGGAGGTTGCAGTGAGCCAAGATGGCGCCACTGCACTCCAGCCTGGGTGACAGAGCGAGACTCTATCTCAAAAAAAAAAAAAAAAAGAAAGAAAAAAGAAAATTTGGCTCAAGCCTGTAATCCCAGCACTTTGGGAGGCCGAGACGGGCGGATCACGAGGTCAGGAGATCGAGACCATCCTGGCTAACACGGTGAAACCCCGTCTCTACTAAAATACATAGCCGGGCGAGGTGGCGGGACGCCTGTAGTCCCAGCTACTCCGGAGGCTGAGGCAGGAGAATGGCGTAAACCCGGGAGGCGGAGCTTGCAGTGAGCTGATCCGGCCACTGCAGTCCAGCCCGGGCTACAGAGCGAGACTCCGTCTCAAAAAAAAAAAAAAAAAAAAAAAAAAAAGAAAAAGAAAATTAAAATTAGTCAGGCCAAGCACAGTAGCTCCGCCTGAAATCTCAGCATTTGGGAGGCTGAGGTGGCAGAGCCGGAGTTCAATATAAGCCTGGGCAACTTAGTGAGACTCATCTCTACAAAAGTTAAAAAAATGGCTAGGCATAGTGGTGTGCACCGGTGGTCCCAGCTACTCAGGAGGCTGAAGTGGGAGGATCGCTTCATGCCCAGGAGGTTGAGACTGCAGTGAGCTGTGATCGTGCCACTGCACTCCAGCCTGTGCTACAGAGTGATACCCTGTCTCAAAAAATAATAATAATAATAATATCAATGTCCCTAGACATGTACAGAAGTACCTGTAGGATAAAATGCAAGTACAAATATTCTCTTATTTAGGGTTTGCTTGGGTTTAGTGAGGCTGACTGACATGAGCGCAGTTGTGAAAAGTGTGAAGACAGTAGATTGGGCCCAGATTTGTGGGAGGTGGGTATAGAGAAGTTCAAGGGTTGGCCTCACTCTTGTAGCTTATAAATATTCGTCCTCTGTTTAAATGGAATCTCATCTCAGTTCTTGATTTGTTTTCTTCTTAATTCTTGCCACAATTTGTGCGAGTGGAGTTTCTCTGTGTGCTTAGGTTATATCCATCTCTTCCACCTGACAGGATTATATATCTGTCCTATTGCTGTGGTATCCCTCCAGCATCTGGCACCTGGCTGAGCCTCTATTTATACTTGTTGGAGGAAGAATTTTCCATGTAATAAGGCAGACAAATGGATACACATGAGAAGCTAGTAATATGGCCTAGTATAATTCTAAATGAGTAAAAACACATGATTACTCTTGAGTAATTAGAGAAGATCGAGACCGGCGCGGTGGCTCCAAGCCTGTAATCCCAGCACTTTGGGAGGCCGAGGCAGGCGGATCACGAGGTCAGGAGATCGAGACCATCCTGGTAGACAGTGAAACCCGTCTCTACTAAAAAATAAAAACTAGCTGGGCGAGGTGGCAGGCACCTGTAGTCCCAGCTGCTAGAGAGGCTGAGGCAGGAGAATGGTGTAAACCCGGGAGGCGGAGCTTGCAGTGAGCTGAGATCTGGCCACTGCACTCCAGCCTGGGCGTCAGAGCGAGACTCCATCTCAAAAAAAAAAAAAAAAAAAAAAGACTAATTAGAAGCAAAAAAAAAAAAAAAAAAAAAAAAAAAAAAGACTAATTAGAAGATCATAGTGGGTTGAAGTCAATCAGGAAAAATTTCAGAGAAGAAACTGCACATGAGCTGAGACTTAAAGGATGGATGGAATATGAAGGAAAAAGGAAATAAGTTATGGGGGAAGAGATGTTCCCTGTAACCTGTCCCTGTTTGACTCCCACATGCTCCTCATCTCTCAGTGTCTCTTTCTATTCTGGTGTCTAGTGGTCTCTGCTAGGCTATCCTGCCCTCACTCATGATGTGGGCTAACTCTGGCCAATCTTTAGGGTTTGTCACATGATTCCTATGCCACCCTTTTTTTTTCTTTCTTTTTTTTTTTTTTTTGAGACAGGGTCTCGCTCTGTCGAGCAGGCTGGAGTGCAGTAGCGCAATCTCGGCTCACTGCAACCCCCGCCTCCCGAGTTCGAGCAATTCTCCTGCCTCAGCCTCCCGAGTAGCTGGGACTACAGGCATGCCACCACGCCCAGCTAATTTTTGTATTTTTAGTAGAGACGGGGTTTCACCATATTGGCCATGCTGGTCTTGAACTCCTGACCTCAGGTGATCTGCCTGCCTCGGCCTCCCAAAGGGCTGGGATTACAGGCATGAGACACCGTGCCCAGCCTCCTATGCTACTCTTTATTATTGTCTTTGTGGCTCCACTGTCTTTTTTAAAATGAAAACCCATGATGTCAATGCCTATCATTATACCTGGCCCATAGCAAGTACTCAATAAATACTTGTTGAATGAGCATATGTGCCTAGGAGCCACATTCCATACTCTTGGGATGGCTCCTTCCCAGATATTTAGTCTCTGCCTAGAGCTGGGGCATTTGGAAATTGCTTGAGGGGCCACTGAAAATCCTTGCATAATTATTAATAAGGGTCTTTCTCAGATTTTTATTTAACAAAGCTTTATTGCATGCCTTCTCTATTACAGGACTTACGCTGGCTATAAGCAGTTTGGAGTTCAGTTACTGTGAGACCCATGTAAACAAATAATGAAAAGTTTTGATTTATGTATAAAGTGGTCTATGAACACTGTAGATGGAGGATTGACTGTCCAAATACACCAGAGAGGCTTCTCAGATTACAGGACAGAAAGTTGGAATTGAATCTTGAAGGATACGTTATGTCCTCTAGGCAGACATGACTGGAGTGGATAAGGGAGTGGGGTGGATGGTATTCTAGGCAAATGCAATCACAGGTGCAAAGATGGTGGTGGTGGTGAGGAACTGAGAAAGTGTGTGTTTAGAGCAAAAGCAGAAGTGGCCAGAGAGAAGGTGCAGGACTGGATCTGGGGCAGGATAACCAAAGGGCTCTTTTTTCTTTTTTTTCTCTTGAGACGGGGTCTCACTCTGTCGCCCAAGCTGGAGTACAATGGCATGATCTCCGCTCACTGCAACCTCTGTCACCCGGGTTCAAGCGATTCTCCTGCCTCAGCTTTGGGAAAGTAGCTGGGATTACAGGTGCCTGCCATTGCACCTAATTTTTGTATTTTTAGTAGAGGCGGGATTTCACCATGTTGGCCGGGCTGATCTTGAATTCCTGACCTCCTGATCCACCCGCCTCTGCCTCCCAAAATGCTGGGATTACAGGTGTGAGCCACTGTGCCCGGCCAGGGCTCTGTCTTATACAGTTTCATGTTGCTATAACAGGATGCCACAGACTGGGCAATTTATAAACAATAGTTTATTTGGCTCATGGTTCTGGAAGCTAGGAAGTCCAAGATCAACAGGTAGCATCTGGCAGCAGCCTTTTCTCTGGGTCACAACATAGCAGAAGGCATCACATGGTAAGAGAAACAGCAAGGGAAAGCGAAACTCATTTTTATAACCAACCGACTCTCAAGATAACCCACTCCTGTGATTACATTAATCCATTCGTGAGGGCGTAGCCCTCATAAGCCAATCAATTTAAACATCTCACCTCTTAACACTTTTGCATTAATGATAAAGTTTTCAACACATGAACTTTGGGGGATACATTCAAACCACAGCAAGCTCTATGGATACCAATCTGTAAGAGGCACAAAAATAAAAAATGATGCTAATTAACATAGCCATCTGCAGTGCCTTACATAACTTTTGAAACCTAAATTTGTCCTATTCCCCTGAGGTAAGACAGTGCCCTTGAATGTTAATTTAAAAATTCTCCTGGTTGGCAATTCCAGTTATCTTATGTTATATTCAGTGCATGTAATAAGTCCCTTATTTTAACATAAAGAGCTTTTAAATTCTTATTAATAGAAAATCAGGTTTCTTTTAATCCTATGCCAAACAGATATTTAAAGAAAACTGGCCTGTTTATGCATTGCCAAATTATTAGCTTTCTGGTAATGTACGTATTCCTCCAACAAGCCCTGGATGGAGGCCTCTAGGTGCTCCTTCCCTGGTAAACACAGGACTGTTCATTTGGCTGGGTAAGCTGGGAAAGTTGGTTTGTGTGGGTGCCTAAAAGAGAATCTGTGTTCAATGAAGTATTGTCAATAGGGTGAATTATGTGTTTGGCACACATAAACGGGACAAGACGTGTAAAGTGCTTGGTCAGAGAGCGACTGTATTTCTTCTTTTTTTTTGGAGACTGGGTCTCACTGTGTCACTCAGGCTGGAGTGCAGTGGCACAATCTCGGCTCACTGTAAGCTCTGCCTCCCGGGTTCAAGCAGTTCCTCATGACTCAGCCACCCAAGACGCTGGGATTACAGACATGCACCCCCATGCTCGGTTAATTTTTTTTTTTTCTTCATTTTTAGTAGAGACGGGGTTTCACCATGTTGGCCAGGCTGGTCTTGAACTCTTGGCCTCAAGCAATCCGCCTGCCTCGGCCTCCCAAAGTGCTAGGATTATAGGCGTGAGCCACAGCGCCTGGCCTAATTTTCGTATTTTCAGTAGAGACGAGGTTTGCCATGTTGCCCAGGGTGGTCTGAACTCCTGGGCTCAAGCGTTCCACCCACCTCGGCTTCCCAAAGTGCTAGGGTTACGGGCGAGGGTGAGTCACGGCGCCCAGTCTAATTTCTAATTTGTATTCAGCTCTCAGCGTGTCCTCAACGTGACCCCACCCAGGTTCAGGGTACTGGAACCTGAGCGAGGAAGGCGTGTTCCGGGGAGAGTAGGTAGTGTGAGGGGCCAGAGTGCAAAGGTCAGAAGGCATTTGGTGGAAGCTGTGTGCAAAGAAGCCTGAGGGGAGGTCCTTCGATCTCGGTTACCTTGGCGATCTCTACCAGACGGTTAGAGTTGCCAAGAGGCGCCTGCTGCCGCTTCCTTTCTCCCGCCCTCCCTTTGGTTTAGCTCCGCCCCCTGCTCCCACAGGTTAAAAGCAGACGCCGACGCGGTTGCCTAGTGACACTTTTCCCAAGATGCCTAGGGTATTGTTGTGTTCTTCTTAGCCAATCAGAGAGGCGAAGCGGGCCCACCGCCTGCCAATAGACTGCGAGATCAGGGCCCGCGACAGTTAAACGGGGCCGAAGGGTGACGGGTTAGCGCTGCTCGGGGGCTTCTCCGTGCTGTTCCCTGAAGCTCCCGGTCCCGATCCCTGGAGCTCCGCACTTGGGGGCGCAACCTGCGTGAGGCAGCGCGACTCTGGCGACTGGCCGGCCATGCCGTCCCGGGCTGAGGACTATGAAGTGTTATACACCATTGGCACAGGCTCCTATGGCCGCTGCCAGAAGATTCGGAGGAAGAGTGACGGCAAGGTGAGCGTGGGCCCTTCCCTGTGCCCGCCCCTGCTTAGGGGCGATCGCCCTGCGCCACCGAAGGGAACCGAGAGGGCTGGGGAAGTGGGTGCCCGGAAGACTCAGCCGTCTTTATAGATGGGTCTGCATCTGACAGCCTGTCCTCGGTCGCTTAAAGGATGGGGGACCGCGTCTTTTGATATACGTATTTCCATCTTTTCCCGTTTCTCTCCCCATTTCTCTCTTTCTCCTGCTTTGGGTTGCTAAGGACCTTCCATTGGTGACACGTAGCTAACTCCTGAGCTGTTTTTAGAGCTCTAAGAGTGGCCCTCTCAGACACAAGAAAGGGGCAGGACCACCAGAACCCGAAGCTTTGTATCTGCAGTCGGACTCCCTCAAAATACCCATTATTCGGATTACTGGATTCATATTTCCCAATGTATACAGGTAGACCTTTTACAGAAAGTAACATTGGACAGGAAACTGCCTGGCTGCTTTACCAAGGTGTCTCATCCTGGGAAAACACGACTGAGGTGGAATGGGGCAGGGACTTTGACCACCTCCACCCCAATTTTGACTAAAGTACCTTTTTGCCAACTTCCCACTAACCAACTGAGGGTAGGGGTTGGGGGAGACCTCATGTGCCTTATTCCCCTTTATCTTCCTACAACATCATTTACTGCTTAGAAATTGAAAGAAGATTATGGAAGTAAACTCACAGTTCCTTAAGTTCATTGAACTAAATTAGATAATGACCTTGATTGTAGGATATAATTAAAAGGGAGGTGATTTTTTAAATCTTGGAACTTTCATTCTTTGTTTTTGAGCGTAATGAGTTCATTCATACCTTGGAAATTCTTATTTTAGATATTAGTTTGGAAAGAACTTGACTATGGCTCCATGACAGAAACTGAGAAACAGATGCTTGTTTCTGAAGTGAATTTGCTTCGTGAACTGAAACATCCAAACATCGTTCGTTACTATGATCGAATTATTGACCGGACCAACACAACACTGTACATTGTAATGGAATATTGTGAAGGAGGGGATCTGGCTAGTGTAATTACAAAAGGAACCAAGGAAAGGTAAGCATAATCTTTTAAAAATGTAAGCTGAAGTTAGGTCTACTTTCATTTATTTTTAAGCATCTTGTTTTAGGATCAGTAATATGGAAGAGTATACTTGTATTTGTTTGGTAGGTCCATAGTACTTTAGAAAATTCCCGGTGAATCAACACCCATATTTTATATCAAAATAGCAATCTATAGGCTGAGTGTGGTGGCTCACACCTGTAATCCCAACACTTTGGAAGGCCGATGCAGGAGTATCACTTGAGCCCAGGATTTCAAGACCAGCCTGGGCAACATAGTAGGACCCTGTTTCTACAAGAATTAGTCAGGTATGGTGACATGTGCCTGTAGTCTAAGCTACTTGGGAGGCTGAGGCAAGAGGATTGCTTGAGCCTGGGAGGTCGAGGCTGCAGTGAGCCATGATCGTGCCACTGCATTCCAACCAGGGTGACAGAGCAAGGCTCTGTCTCAAAAAATATAAATAAATAAATAAATAAATAAATAAATAAATAATTTATTTCCCTATTAGTACACTGGATAATTTATATCATCCCATCTTGGCAACAATTTTTTTTTTTTTTTAGAAGTTATATGCTGTATAACTGCTTTGGTTTCAGGCAATATTTAGATGAAGAGTTTGTTCTTCGAGTGATGACTCAGTTGACTCTGGCCCTGAAGGAGTGCCACAGACGAAGTGATGGTGGTCATACTGTATTGCATCGGGATCTGAAACCAGCCAATGTTTTCCTGGATGGCAAGCAAAACGTCAAGCTTGGAGACTTTGGGCTAGCTAGAATATTAAACCACGACACGAGTTTTGCAAAAACATTTGTTGGCACACCTTATTACATGTCTCCTGTAAGTATTTCAGAATTTAGATACTTTTTAAAACATCTTTTATTTTTGTTTTTTTGTTTGTTTTTGAGACAGAGTCTCGCTCTGTCGCCCAGGCTGGAGTGGAGTGGTACAATCTCAGCTCACTGCAACCTCTGCCTCCTGGTTTCAAGGGATTCTCTTGCATCAGCCTCCCGAGTAGAGTAGCTGGGACTACAGGTGCATGTCACCATGCCCGGCTAATTTTTGTATGTTTAGTAGAGACAGGGTTTCATCATGTTGGCCAGGCAGGTCTCAAACTCCTGACCTCAAGCAGTCTGCCCACCTCAGCCTCCCAAATTGTTGGGATTACAGGCGTGAGCCACCGCTCCCAGCCAAAACATCTTTTAATGTTAAGCATTCTGAAGCAGGGAAATTGAGTTTTCTGTTTGTTTGTTTAGTAATATCTAGTAGCCAAGAATTGAAAATACTGTTATATTTTTCCACATGGACCACCAGACCAATAAAGTCTATATGAGTTTTTGTTTGCTTCATGAATTATGTGCAATAATGTAAGTATGATGAAGACAGATTCCTACTCTAAGGTTTGCACTATTTGTCATCTCTCAGTGGGTTCAATTTTTTGAGCATTCATGCAAATTAAAGCATATTCAGTTCAAGCTTTTATGGAATGATTACAATGCATTAAACTCAAGGATTACAAAAATGAAATGGATTTTGTCCCTGCCCTCAAGAGCTGTTTCCAATGTGTAGGTCCTGGTCATCTGCATCAGACTCACTTGGAGTGTTTGTTTAAAATGCAGAGTTCTGGGTGCTAAACCAAACCCAAATCCATCGAGTGAATTTCAATCTCTGGGTAGGTTCTTGAACTCTTGTTTTTTTTTTTTTTTTTTTCAATATTGTACTTTTTATTTTAGACTATGCATTTTAACAGACTCTGTAAATGATTCTTGTGCATGCAGAATCAGAGCTCAGGAAGTTTGCTCACTGAGATAGCATGTTTTTACAATGTAACTTTTTGTACATGTTATTTTTTTGTTGCCTTTTCCTGAAATATGGTGCTGAGTCCACTCACCAATAACCTCTATTGCTGGATATTTTGTTTCCAAAATGTTTCACCATTCTTAGAAGTACTGTTCTGCATATCTTTGTATGAATTATTCTTTCTTTCTTTTTGGTTATTTCCTTGACATGCAGCTCATAAAATGAAATTGCTGGGGTAAAAGGTATAAACAGTTTATGACTGTTGTTAGATATTGCCTGACGGCTTTTAAAAAGTTTAAGTCAATTGTGATAGCACTAATGTGTTAGTATATGACATCTGAACAGATAAAGATGAAGAAATATTTATTAGTATTTTAGTAGTTCACCTTTCTAGGATTTTCCAGATCTTTATAAATTATGTTAACAGATCTGACTGTAGTATAAAACTTTGTAAATTAGTGATTTTGGTTTTGACTAAGAATGGCCAGAACAGTACCATTTTCTCACTGTATCAAATTCCAAATAGAATGTTTTTAACATAAAGGACAATTATCCAGAAGTGGTTCTTGGAAAGCTTGAAACCTATTCTTTTGTTCCTTTTCCCTCCTGCCCTTGTAATTAGAGTGGTTCAGCTTCCCTAAGGCACTGATTGTCAAAAAGTGGCATCAGGCTCACCAGTTGGACTTTAAAACACTAACCAGCCACTAGAGATTGCTTCTGTTCCCTCTGTTAAGAATAAGAGCTCTGGTAGGCTGTTGTTACTGTAGATGCGGAAGAAAGGCAAACAATAAAATAGGTAATGATAATATTAGTTACTACTGTGATTTATGTAGTGGACTAAGAAAAAATATAAATGGGTAATTCAATTAGCTATTTATGTCTATATTCATTTAAATGTGGACTAGATACATATTTTGATTATTCTTAAATTTTCTCTAGTTCTTTTAAAATGGTGTTTCTTAATTTGCCTTGAGAGTAGAAGTCTGTCATATTCACCTCTGAATTGTCAGTGCCTAGTCTATACTAAGCACTTTCATTTGTGAATGAAAAATGAGTGAATGAATTATATATGACAGTGTATTGGGACAAGAGCATTGCCTTTTTTTTCCATTATAAATTTCAAGATAAAGTATAAGCTAAAAACTTTGAAGTTCTGTTTTTACCTCAGGAGTAATTTAATGTGTTTTATAAGTTTCAAAACAAAATAAACTCTTAACACCTTCCACTTTCTTACCCTTTTTCCCTGTATAGGAACAAATGAATCGCATGTCCTACAATGAGAAATCAGATATCTGGTCACTGGGCTGTTTGCTGTATGAATTATGTGCATTAATGTAAGTATGATGAAGATAGATTCCTAGTCTAAGGTTTGTACGGTTTGTCACATTTCACTGGGTCTAGTTTTTTGAGCCTCCACGCTAAAGAAAGTATATTCAAGTCTGAAAGAATTGTACCTTGGCTAAAATTAAGGTAGATGGACAGGCTAAAAGAAACTATTCACAAATTAAAACTGTAAGCCATGAGGCTGAGTCTTGACTGTTCAAGTGTCTTGGCTGGTTAGGCGCTTTCCTGTTAGACTGACACTTAGTTCAAGGGAGAACTCATAGGTCAGGCAGGTAAGGTAAAGCTACTGTAAGGATGTGGAAGAAATGAAACGAAACAAGACCAGGGTAGAGATCTGGGGATCTTTAGAGCAGGGAAGAGCTCCAGTTCTTTTCCTTTGTTCTTCTTTTCGTTTTTTTCCCTTTGAAACTATTCTGTAGAGCAGTGATTCTCAACCAGGGATAAGGGAAGCAAATTTGCCTCTTGCGGGGCATTTGACAATGTTTGGATAAATTTTTAGTTATCACAGCTGGGGAGTGCTCCTGGCCTCTAGAGGTACAGGGCAGCAAGGCTACAAAATACCTATAATGCACAGGACAGCCCCCCACAACAAAGAATTATATGACCTCAAATGTCAATAGTGCCAAGGTTGGGAAACTTACTTATAAGAAGAAAATCCCACAAGTAGAAACTTAAATACAAACTGGAGCTTAAACTGTGCTTTTGATTTAGTTCCTATTGTATATTTTCATTTTTACAATTTGAAAATGTCTTCGTCGTCTTTTCCTTCTTTTTTAATCCCAGGCCTCCATTTACAGCTTTTAGCCAGAAAGAACTCGCTGGGAAAATCAGAGAAGGCAAATTCAGGCGAATTCCATACCGTTACTCTGATGAATTGAATGGAATTATTACGAGGATGTTAAACTTAAAGGTAAAGATGATAAGATGATATATTGTCTGTTTCTAGCTGTCAGTTAAGTGTTGGAACATACATTCTGTCTTGTAGATCAATGGAGACTGAGGAAACATTAAATATAGTTTCTTAGCTAAATATACTGTGTTAACACAAGTGAAAACATATGTAAATTTGTCAAATTGCACATCCTTGCTGGCCCACCTTCTGCGCTTTCTTTATTTCTCCGCCCACTCTGCCATGCTAACAGATGGGTTGGTAGCAAGGAAAGATTGCAAAAAGAATTCAAATCCTCGTTCCCTTGTCCTTGCCTACCTCACAGTGGCAGGTGGTGAGGGAAGGGGCCAGAGATAAGACTTTATTACTCTGCCTCTAGCTCTAATTGAGAGATTAGAGATCAGAGGAAGGGGAGGGGTGATGGAGGGTGGAGGGAGGACAACTAAAAAGCAGAGGGAAAATCAATAAAGAGATTATGTGGAAAAACTCTGGCTATAGAATGGGGAAGGAAATGTTCTGGGGATCAGGCTGACATAAGAGAAGAAGGAAAATGCTGTAGGATCACAGACAAGGATACAGATGAAGTGACAGGATTGAGAGTCAGTGAGAGAGTATCTTGCTAAATGTAGTTTAGAGATGCAAGGACAGTACTTCCCCTAAAACAGACTCTAGCAGTGCTACCAAGCATCAGCACAAGATGTACCAATCTTCAGGGATTGAACCTTCTTAGAAAGGTGAAAAGGGGAAAAGGGAAAAAAGGTAAGTTAACATCTGCATTACCTTGTGGACCCAGAACCTCGTGGGTTAAAACCATCAGTGAACTTATTTTTCCAAGTGTTTAAGACCTAGCCATAAAGGAGTCCTTTCTTTTGTCTTGGAAATACATATATGTCCTTTTATTGTAACTGCTGTCTTTGGAGAACTCTTCTGTTATGCAATCTGATTATATACTGCGTATTTTTTTCCCCAGGATTACCATCGACCTTCTGTTGAAGAAATTCTCGAGAACCCTTTAATAGCAGATTTGGTTGCAGAAGAGCAAAGAAGAAATCTTGAGAGAAGAGGGCGACAATTAGGAGAGCCAGAAAAATTGCAGGATTCCAGCCCTGTATTAAGTGAGCTGAAACTAAAGGAAATTCAGTTACAGGAGCGAGAGCGAGCTCTCAAAGCAAGAGAAGAAAGATTGGAGCGTAAGTCTGAATGGGGCTTAAAGCAAAGGAGACCTACCAAGTGGGTTATTTTGATGTGTCTGAATATCTCTTTGAGCAGAATATTTTATACATACAGATCTTATTAGAAGCTTTTAAAAATACTTGAGAAACCAAAATATGTATTGTAGATTTTTAATAATCAGGCTTGCTAGCACCTTCATGTTGGACGTCTTTCTCTGAGATCAGTTGCTAGTTATATAATATTGGGCCTTAACTGTGATGGCCCTAACACGATAGCCTTATACTTTATTGTAGAGTTACTTTTTACTTTTTCATCTCTACTATGAATACCCTAATGTTTTTCCCACTGTAAAGGAAGGTCTTAAAATTGCTGCTTTCCATAATAAAAACCATGACTTTTGTCTTTTGAAATGGCCACTCCAACAGAATTCCAGGTCCAAAACCCTACAGTATGTAGATGAGATATGTTCAGGCAATTCTTTTCTTTTTTTTTCACTTTTTATTTTTGAAAATGAGATGGGGTCTCACTATATTGCCCAAGCTGGCCTTGAACTCCTGAGCTCAAGCAATCCTCCCACCTTGCCTCCCAAAGTGCTGGAATTACAGGTGTGACCTACCACACCTGGTCTGTTCAGGCAATTCAGTAGAGAGTCTAGATACAAGATATTTTAAGTCTATAAATAATACTCTGGTGGGTATTAACGTTGACTTACGAGTATTAACTGATTAGGTGTTAATTTAGTTTTGATGTTGAAAGTGTGTCTACTCCACCAAGATGAGAGCTACTAGCAAGCATTTAGGGTTACGCAAGGTAGCTACAGAGTGAGGTTCTTCATTTTAACATCAGGAGACGAGAGATGGATCATAGTTGTCACCTGTCACCCTCATGACTCACTTGATTTTACTTCTGCAGCCTTATACCTAATCCAGGCTTTAAATAATGAAATACTGTATAGTCCTGTGAGATATGCTTACTGTATAGGTACAACCTATACTTAGAAACCTCTGTAAAAAATAAGAAAACTTTTTCTTATAACTTTCCCCAGTGTTTCATAATTTCTTTTCTTTTCTTTTCTTTTTTTTTTTTTTGAGATGGAATTTCACTCTTGTTGCCCAGGCTGGAGTACAGTGGCACCATCTTGGCTTATTGCAACCTCTGCCTTCCGGGTTCAAGCAGCTCTCCTGCCTCAGCCTCCTGAGTAGCTGGGATTACAGGCGCCTGCCACCATACCTGGCTAATTTTTGTATTTTTTAATAGAGATGGGTTTTGCCATGTTGACCCAGCTGGTCTTGAACTCCTGACCTCAGGTGATCCACCTGCCTTGGCCTCCCAAAGTGTTGGGATTATAGGCATGAGCCACTGTGCCCAGCCATAATTTCATATAGCAACGGAAATCTGAATACTTTCTGAACTTTGGGCCACGAATAAATAGTAACCTTTGTTATTAATACTAATCCTATGAACTACCGCCTAACTGAATTGTGTGTGTGTTTTTTTTTTCTTTTATTTGAGTGTGGTCATTCAACCAGAAAAAAGAAGATTTTTGTACTGTGAGGCCAGATCATGCCCTGAAAATTAGCTGTTGCTTATCTTCAGTGAAGAGCAGATATAGCTTTAGTTTTTTGTTTTCCCAATTGAGTTACTCCCACAAAAGATGACCAAAGGTTGAAGCTAACTTTGTATTTGTTAAACAAGTCCTTTCAAGAAAATCTAAGATAAACATATAGCCTACTAAAACACTCAATTAAAAACTAACACAATCAGGTTGACTGAGGCATAGTGAGAATCCTTTCCCCAAACATTGCTTATCAGTATCAAGCATGCTAGTAGTGATAAGATTGCCAAATGTAAATCGTTTTTTAGTGAAGGTCACTTGTTAATTTTTTTTTCTTTGTCCATTCTCTTTTTAAAGAGAAAGAACAGGAGCTTTGTGTTCGTGAAAGACTAGCAGAGGACAAACTGGCTAGAGCAGAAAATCTGTTGAAGAATTACAGCTTGCTAAAGGAACAGAAGTTCCTGTCTCTGGCAAGTAGTCCAGGTATGAGAATCAAGTCGGTCAACAGAAGCTGGTGCTACAAATGAAGAAATGTGCACCAGTGTTGCTCCCAAAGTGGCTTAGGTAGCCCTTTTCATTTACAAAGTCTCAAATTTTAAGTTGGATTTCATTGAATATATGCATTTCAATGGAAACAAAATTCTGTTATAGCAATGATTTATTTCCTGGGTTCATAGACCTGAGGCAATGAGTCACAGAATTTCATGTTTGATTTTCTTAACCTTATCAAACCACATGTTTAGTAATTGATACTTATTAATATTATTATTATTATTATTTTCCAAGATGGAGTCTCGCTCTGTTGCCCAGGCGGGAGTGCAGTGGCGCGATCTTGGCTCACTGCAAGCTCCGCCTCCCGGGTTCACGGCATTCTCCTGCCTCAGCCTCCCGAGTAGCTGGGACTACGGGTGCCCGCCACCACGCCTGGCTAATTTTTTGTAATTTTAGTATAGACGGGATTTCACTGTGTTAGCCAGGATGGTCTCAATCTCCTGACCTCATGATCTGCCCACCTCAGCCTCTCAGTGTGCTGGAATTACAGGCATGAGCCACCATGCCCGGCTGATACTTATTTTTAAAAATTAGGGCATTTACAAAACTATTGTGTGTTTTAGATTTCAGAAAGATAAACTGCATTTCAAGTAAAAATCAAAATTTTAATACTGCCATGCCTCATCTTTCATAGAAAGCATGTCTTAAAAGGCATGATAAGCCACCTGCAGAATAGGCTGTCACATTTGGATCTTTGCTAACACCTTTTCAAGTTGAAACACATATTTGTGGAAATTTCATTGTTTAATATCTACATATGTTCTCTGCATTTCCTTCTTTATTTAAAGTCTGGTATATAGATGTTCAGCTTTCTCAGGGTCCTGCCTTTGTGTGGCATTGTCCCTTCACTCTGCCACACTGAGATGTGGTTATCATATATACCAGTGAACCATTGTCTAACATTCTCCATTTTATAGAAACCTCTCAATCTAATTCAGTTGACTCTATGTAAAATGCAAACTGTGAAACATCTTTTTGCTTGATTTCTTTAGGACACAAACTAACTGTTAAAAGTTTGGTTTCAAAAATCGAGCATCTGAATTTTCAATAAAATTTACAGTTTTTTTAACTCCCTTATTCCATGTAGAACAGCATATATGAAAGCTACTATTCTTATCTTTAATAAATTGAGATGTGATCAATTTAGTGAGCATTGGCAGCATTTTGTAAATGGAACAGACAAAAAACCCTACTTAAGTTAGATTGATGATCACAATAACTTTGTAGTGGACAAGTGATGGAAAGAAATGAAACTACTGATAGAAGTAAATGAAACAAAGATTGTATGAAACTTTGGCTTCATCTCTGTTAAGATACCTTCTTTTTTCTCAATATTGCCATCTACCATTTCAATATTATAAACATATTTATTTTGGCTTTTCATAGATTCCACACTGTCATCCATAAAGACAAAGTATACTTAAATCATGATTAGGGTGATAAAATGAGGAGAAAATTATACTGGATGAATTTCATGCATCAAACCCATTGCAGGAAATTACTTAAGACCCTGTTGGGGATGGCTCTTCAGTTAAAGAGTTTATTTACATTTGCCCTGATAGTCTTTGAGCAAAAGATGAAAATAGCTAAGTAAGCATGATGTGTTTTACTTTATAGGATACACAGATAAGTATGGGAATCTACTTATATGTGAATCATGGCAAATATTTAAAATGAGCCATAGGAATCAAGTATCCACTGGGGCAAGCCGACATTTTAGAGTATTGAGTGCTGAAGGTAGTGAACACATCAGAACTATAAGATAAGCATCATAGCAGTGGGGAGCAGGTACCATTCTGAACTCAGGACAGTTGGAAATATCCTCTCCCCATCCTTGGGCTATAAAATCCACACATGAGGAAGCCATCACAAGTGTATTGAAATCATCACAGCAAGCAACAGTATCTTTTTTTAAAACTTTTCTTATTTGATGAAATAGTCATTATTCTATTTAATGGAAGAATTTTAAACATTTTTTAAAAACACTTTTTTCTTATAAAACTATCCCATTAAGAGCCAGGTGTGGTGGTGCACCTATAGTCCCAGCTACTCTGGGGGCTCAGGCAGGAAGATCACTGGAGCCCAGGCGTCCGAGGCTGTAGTGCACTACAGCTGCACCTGTGAATAGCCACTGCACTCCAGCCTGGACAACATGGCAAGACCCCATCTCAAACAAAAACAAAACTATCCCGTCAGTAAGACAATGTTGACTTACAAATCTATAGGTATTTGTGATAATAAGAAGGTGGATAGATTTGAAACAGTGGAGATAAAGTCTAAAGGCAATCCAGTTTGCTTTGAAGCAGAAGCGATGTATGAAGCAGGAAGTCATAGGACCCTTGGAAGGCAGTGCATCTGTGTGCCAGCCTTTCCTATTTCTTCTGCCTGGAGCACTCTTCATCCAGATAGCCCTGTGGCTTCTTACTTCAGAAATGACCGTATGAGGCTTTGTCTCATTACACCTACCACCCAGCATGTCCGTTTCCAGGGTTATTTTTCCTAATAGCACATATTACCATCAAATATTCCCCACCAGTACTTGTTTATTTGTGTTTGGTTTATCTCCTCCTACTAAAATAAGGCCTATTTGGTTCACAGTGGCCCATCCTATGAGCTCAGTAAATATTTGAACATACACAGGAAAAATAAAAAGATCTAGAATCTGTTTAGGCCTCCAGCCCTTACTAATTCTGTCAGCAGTTAATAGTGTTGCCACTTTAAGTAAATATGATTATTATTTATTTTTTCCATGAAAAGAATAGTTTACATTTTTTACTACTCTTACTTGATTTATCTTTTCCACACCGAATTTGTTTAGGTTCTTTTGGAGACAAATTTCTGGTCAGTTAAGATGCTTTGAACTAAGTGTTCTTGAACATTTAACCAAAACTGTAGGTGTTCTCTATTTAAAAAAATATATACAAAAAGCAAAAACCAAAAAAAAAACAAACAAACTGTGCCTCTATACTTTTCTGTAGGTAAGGCGTTCTGCATAGAATGGCACTTATTTTCAAGGATAGAGATAAATAACATTCATTTCCAAAAGTTTTATATTGTCCATAATACTCAGTGTGTTTAACTTTAAGAGTAAAATTGATTGTTCGTTGTTAAGAGAATAAAACTTATGTTCCTTGAATTTCGGCACATTCCAATATTATTTTTTCAATGCTGTGGATTAAAAGGCTGATTTCTGCCAGTCCTACACCCCTAACCTCCCATCCCAGAGAAAATAAAACAGGTACCTAGATTTCAAATGTGAACCATAAGAGCAAATACTTTTTGATAAGTATACGTATGAAGGAGTTGAACTCTGTTCAAGTAACTCAAAGCCCTTTTTCTTTTTCCTTCTAAAGAACTTCTTAATCTTCCATCCTCAGTAATTAAGAAGAAAGTTCATTTCAGTGGGGAAAGTAAAGAGAACGTCATGAGGAGTGAGAATTCTGAGAGTCAGCTCACGTCTAAGTCCAAGTGCAAGGATCTGAAGAAAAGGCTTCATGCTGCCCAGCTGCGGGCTCAAGCCCTGTCAGATATTGAAAAAAATTACCAGCTAAAAAGCAGACAGATTCTGGGTATGCGCTAGCCAGGTAGAGAGACACAGAGCTGTGTACAGGATGTAATATTACCAACCTTTAAAGACTGATATTCAACTGCTGTAGTGTTATATACTTGGTTCCGTGAGCCACGCCTTTTTGTATAGTACACGTGATATTTCGGAATTGGTTTTGCTGTTCTTCAGCAACTATTGTACAAAATGTTCACATTTAATTTTTCTTTCTTCTTTTAAGAACACATTATAAAAAAAATACTTTCTTGCTTGGGCTTTTTTAATCCTGTGTGTGATGACTAGTAGGAACATGAGATGTGACATTCTAAATCTTGGGAGAAAAAAATAATGTTAGGAAAAAAATATTTACGCAGGAGTAGCAGTCACTGAATAGTTTTAAACGACTGAGTGGTGTGCTTGCAATTGTTATATATAGATTTAAATTTTAAGTCTGAGATTTTAAATGTTTTTGAGCTTAGAAAACCTATTTGGATGCACTTTGGTCATTAATACCATGACATCTTGCTTATAAATATTCCATTGCTCTGTAGTTCAAATCTATTAGCTTTGTGAAAATTCATCACTGTGATGTCTGTATTCTTTTTTTTTCTGTTTAACAGAATATGAGCTGTCTGTCATTTACCTACTTCTTTCCCACTAAATAAAAGAATTCTTTGGTTTCCCTGTATTTATGTGTCTTGCATTTGTTGGTCTCTTAGTTGATGGGAGTTGTGTTTATGATTTATAGGTCTTCATCATAGGGTACGGAAGGAAACATGGATCTGATGCTCAAGAGAGTGGCATTCCAGTCCTAAACTGTATGGCGCTTTACCTCCCATCTCATTAATCCATGTATGTAAGCCAGTGGTCCTGAACAGGGTGATTTTGCTCCTCAAGGGACGTTTGGCAATGCCTGGGGGTGTTTTTGATTGTCATGATTTGGGGTAAGGTGCTACTGGCTGCTAGTGGGTACAGGCCAGGGACACTGTAAACATTTTACAATGCACAGGACAGCCTCTGACAACAAAATATCAATGGGTTTGGATCATAATCCTAAATGACACAATTTCAAATGCTAAAATTCTGAAAGACCAAAATCCCTAATGTCTTAAATCCCAAAAGATCAAAATCCCTAACGTGTGAACTTCCAAAATCACAATCCTGAAAGATTAAAATCCCAGATGTTAAAATCCTGAAAGCCAAATTCCAAGGCAGGGATTAGTGCAGTTTCAACTGTATACAGGATAACCGCGTCATGTTAGGCAGAACTATTACCTTGTTATTGTCTTCATTTGCACATTAAGTATGGTTTAAGAGATGTGGATGGATATCAAGTTGATAAGGGGTGAACTTGTTGATTTATATGTCAACTTGACTGGATTAAGGAATCCCTAGAAATCTGGTAAAGCATTATTTTAGGTGTGTCTGTGAGGGTGTTTCCAGAGGAGGTTAATATGTGAGTCTCAGTAGACTAGGTGGGGTATATCTTTCCTCAATATTCAGTGTTTTGAAGATCATAAAAGTGACTTTTCAGGTGAAAATTACAAGAAATCTCTCCTGCCAAATTACTCAGTTACATACAACTTCTGCTCCTTCATGAATAGTGCCACGCTTGCCTTCAAAAAACGCCCTTTGTCTGAGAATAAAATTCGACAAGCTGAGCAGCCTTGTGAACCAAAGACACTTGCTGACATTGAGGTTCCTCCAGCGTCATAAAACTCATTAACCAAACTGTTCTTGTTTAGAGATTTGAGTGTTGAAGAAGACCGACGGCTTATATTTACCACTAAATCTAACAGAAAAACTATCACATGCTTCACTTTGGCTAGTGGATGGCACTTTCAAACTGTCTGCACTGGTTTTTATCAGCTATACATGATTCATGCCCCTGTTGGTTCTGAAGATTCTAGAACTCATCTAGTCATTTAAACAATTATCTAAAGATTTGCTGCACTTTGCAGAAGAAAACAGCTTTCAATTGAATCCCGAAACCATAACAACAGATTTGGAATTAGATGTGATCAAAGCTTCTAAAAGTGAATTTCAAAGTGTTACCAATAAAATTTGTTTTTTTCCATTCAGCGCAATGCGTTTGATAGAAAATTAGATGAGTAGATAGGCCATGAGATACAGCAATGACAAAAACTTCAGTTTAGAAGCAGGAACCCACATCAAGGAATAGAGCCCTTTGCTCCTCCTTCAGAATGAATGGAGACCAAAAATCAGATGCTTATGCCCAAGAAAATCAGGATTTCATTCAGCACTTCTCCCAGATTGTTAGAGTGCTGACTGAGGATGAGATGGGGCACCCAGAGACGGGAGATGCTATCGCCCGGCTCAAGGAGGTCCTGGAGTACAATGCCATTGGAGGCAAGTTATCACTATGGTTTTTCATTCCGGGAGCTGGTGGAGCCAAGGAAGTAGGATGCTGATAGTCTCCAGCGGGCCCTGACTGTGGGCTGGTGTGTGGAACTGCTGCAAGCTTTCTTACTGGTGGCAGATGACATCACGGATTCATTCCTCACCCACTGGGGACAGATCTGCTGGTATCAGAAGCCGGGCGTGGGCTTGGATGCTGTCAATGATGCTGTGCTTCTGGAAGCATGTATCTACCGCCTGCTGAAGCTCTATTGCTAGGAGCAGCCCTATTACCTGAACCCGATGGAGCTCTTCCTGCAGAGTTCCTATCAGACTGATCGAGCTCTTCCTGCAGAGTTCCTATCAGACTGATCGAGCTCTTCCTGCAGAGTTCCTATCAGACTGATCAAGCTCTTCCTGCAGAGTTCCTATCAGACTGAGATTGGGCAGACCCTGGACCTCATCATAGCCCCCTAGGGCAATGTGGATCTTGGCAGATTCATGGAAAAGAAGTACAAATATCAAGTACAAGACAGCTTTCTACTCTTTCTACCTTCCTGTAGCTGCAGCCATGCATGTGGCAGGCATTGATGGCGAGAAGGCACACACCAATGCCAAGAAGATCCTGCTGGAGATGGGAGAGTTCTTTAAGATTCAGGATGATCGGCCGGGCGCGGTGGCTCAAGCCTGTAATCCCAGCACTTTGGGAGGCCAAGACGGGCGGATCACGAGGTCAGGAGATCGAGACCATCCTGGCTAACACGGTGAAACCCCGTCTCTACTAAAAAAAATACAAAAAACTAGCTGGGCGAGGTGGCAGGCGCCTGTAGTCCCAGCTACTCGGAGGCTGAGGCAGGAGAATGGCGTGAACCCGGGAGGCGGAGCTTGCAGTGAGCTGAGATCCAGCCACTGCACTCCAGCCTGGGCGACAGAGCGAGACTCCGTCTCAAAAAAAAAAAAAAAAAAAAAAAGATTCAGGATGATCACTTTGACCTCTTTGGGGACTCCACTGTGACTGACAAAGTTGGCGCTGACATCTAGGACAACAAATGCAGCTGGCTGGTGGTTCAGTGTCTGCCATGGGCCACTCCGAAACAGTACCAGATCCTGAAGGAGAATTATGGGCAGAAGGAGGCCGAGAAGGTGGCCCAGGTGAAGGCACTATATGAGGAGCTGGATCTGCTGGCTGTGTTCTTGCAGTATGAGGATGACAGTTACAGCCACATTGTGGGTCTCATTGAACAGTGCGCCATCTTTCTGGAGCTGGCACACAAAATCTACAAGCGGAAAAAGTGACCTAGCGACTGCAAGGGCAGGGAGAGGAGGGAGGCTCTCAATAAATTATTGTGTAACCTTGAAAACAAAACAAAAAACTTCAGTTTAAAAATGTACTTTCCAGCTGGGTGTGGTGGCCAAGGAGGGAGGAACACTTGAATTTAGAAATTCCATAATAGCCTGGGCAATGTAGTGAGACAGTGTCTCTAGAAATAATTTTTTAAAAAGTTAGCCAGGTGTGGTGTGTGACTGTGGTCCCAGTTACTTGGGAGGCTGAGGCAAGAGGATTGTCTGAGCCTGGGAGGTGGAGGCTGCAGTGAGCTGTGATCAAGTTACTGTACTCCAGCCTGGGAGACAGAAAGAGAGACCCTGTCTCTTAAAGCTGGGGGTGGGAGTGTGGGCGGAAGGGGGTTTCCTTGTGTGCAGTATGTATTAAGAGATGGGGAAAAAATGTGTCATTCGCCTGCCTTGGCATTCCTTCCAGCTGATGACTTTCTAGAAACTTTTAGTGAGTTAAAGCCACATTTGCCTGAAGACGCCAGCAAAGTTACTGACTGGTTTGAAAATAAACATATATGTGGTAGGATAAGAAAATACACAATGGTGTTGCTGTTTGATCACCAGTATTGTTTCTGTCAAATTTGTGGTCTAACGAGTGCATGCAGAACAGATTTCTGAGTACCGAAAACGACACAGAAAATAAGGAAATTTAGTAGGGAACGCTCATGTCAGTGTACATGGAATCATAGAAGAATGCCAGGAAGAACAGCACCACGTAGAAAATGAATGTGAACATACTCTCCAAGTAGAGCCATGCCCTAAAAGAGAAAAAGCAGCTATTCCTTGTAATGCAAGACTTTAAAATACAGTGAATGATTGTGGAGGTTGGCCAGCTCTTACAGACTATCTCAGTGCAATTGCCCATAATCCATTCCTGTAATACACTTTTTCGTATGTCAAATTTTCTTGTTTTTTTCTGTTTTCTGTTGTTTTTTTTTCACTATTTAAAATTGTCAGCATTCTTTTTTACAATTTGCTATGCTATATAATTCATCTTCAAAACATTTCTGATACTGGAGGCATAATTTGTGTAGAGACTTTTAGAAAGTTCTGGTTTTTTTGCAAATTTGACGCCATGAAAGTACACTGTCACAGTATTGACTGTGTGTAAGCATTGTTCCTGTACATAAAAACACTGACGCGTCCTCAGTAAGCGAAGAGATGTCCTTTTTGTACATCTGCATTTGTGAAAGGTAAACTTTTTGAACATCTTGGCTCTTTAGGTGGCTGCACATGCAGTAGCGACCCATCCTGTTTTTGATAGATCTCATCAAAAGACTCTTAGGTTGTTATGGGATTTCAGATGACCGAAGGCATAAAACTGGGTGCACACATTTACCAACCATAGGGATATGCATTTACACATTTCCCTTTTTGACCTATTTCTTTTTTCTTTCCCTTTTTTTTTTTTTTTTTTTTGAGATAGAGTCTCACTTTGTTGCCCAGGCTGGAGTGCAGTGGTGTGATCAGAATTCAATGTAACCTTGGCCTTGTAGGCTCAAATAATCCTCCCACTTCAGCCTCCTGTGATGGAGTCTCGCCGTGTTGCCCAGGCTGGTCTTGAACTCATGGGCTCAAGCAATCCTCCCACCTTGGCTGGGATTACAGGTTTGAGCCATTGCGCCCAGCCCCTTTATGACCTATTTATGAATGTGGCTTGTCTGTTCATTACTGATATAATTATGCAACTTTCATTAGTATATATGAATGTTTATGCTTGCACAAAAATGTATGTTATTATTGCCTATTTTATTGCATAAAGTGACTTATGAAGTGTTCTGTGTTTTTATGTTTCTCAAATAAATTCCCTTTTAAAAATGTAAACTCATGTAAATGTAAAAAAAAAAGTGTAAATAAATATCTTTTAAAGAATTTTTAAATTATATTTTCCAGAATTGCATTTTTGGAATTTTGCTCTTTCAGGATTATGATTTCCAGGTTTTAGACTTTATGGCTTTTGACCTTTTGGAACTTCAGGATTACAACAGTTTGGAT